ATAGCTCCTTTCACATTTTGCCACGCTTCATCCACGTGCTCACTGCCACCCGCACACGTCCCTTCAGATTCAGGGATAAACCATTCTGACGCCATAGATGGTTCAAATTAGCAAACGCGGCTCGAGCCTAGCAGATTCGTGCACTCACCTCATCTGTCACACCACACTCTGAGCTGATACAACTTCCAGTACCTCTCCTTGGATTGTAAGTGGCGTGTTCAGTGACTGCACGTCCACGAGCGTGACCTTACAGTTTGTCGGTGCGAAGTGCATACCAAAGGACGGGATGGCTTTGGTCAGTTCGTCCGAAAACACCTGCGCCTTCTCCTCTTCGAAGACGAAAACGATGTCATTTTTTTACTCCAGATCGACAAGGTTTTCTTCACAAGCTATTGAAACACCAGGGTTTTGGAGACCCTCCAGCGTTCATCAGTCCATTCATCAATCAGTGCAAGTTCAGGTTCCGGATCTGCTCTGTTTTCCTAATATCACCAACTAATTTTGGCTTCTTGTAGGGACTGTACCCTGCAAAGTAGGACGAAATATTTGGATTGGCTGTCATAGAACCAAGTTCAAAGCGCTCACCACCGATAGACGGCTCAATCAACTTTTTAACTAGTGACGAACGCTGAACTGGGACACCCACTCAGCAAGGATCCAGGCCAGCGTTTTTACCATCTTATTCACGTCAGCTCCCAATGATACTTGGGTAGAGTCAACCTAATACACTTGGCATGTCTGTAATCCCTAGCTTACGGCTGTGAATATTGTCATCGTCACTTAATAACTTCCCTCACTCTGCTCTTAAATATAAAAAGCAGCCCTTTTTGCTACTAAAATTCGAAAACTTATAAAAAATCCTACCATTAGTTGCCCCGTCAGTCTCCACCCACATTTTCACGTAAATGTTGCTTACCTGGGTCGAACCGCTTGCTGAATTTACATTTTCGTTGTCGGGGCGATCTGTCCTAACCTAGACCTGAGTCATAATATGGTTACTCGTAGTACAAGGCTCGCTGCTCCATTTCGGCTCAGCTAGAATGGTTGTGCACTATCAACCGAAACTCTGGTGTCGCTCACCGAGGTGGAAGCTTGTGGCCTTGTATGTAACTAGAGACGCTATTGCATACACCACTTTTCGGTGACTACCTTCTCTGTGAATAATGAATCCTAATAATCGTTCAGTAACAGCACCATTTCGGTGTCTAGCTGTTATGCCACCCGAAGGGAAGCATGAGGTCTGAGGTACTATCAGGCTACTCAAATCCAGACAGTAGTCTAGATGGCGAGGTTGTTTTCGAACCACGCACCTTCCGGGCAGTAAGTTCGCGTCTTACCCACTGCAGCAAAAGATAGGTTCAAATGATGTCCCATACCGCAGCTGCTGATCCAAAATAGGACCGACCCAATTTTGCCGACAAAGCCCATAGGTGTTATGTGGTTCCGGCCTTTGTCTACCTTGGTTAACATCCAGGATTCTAGCCACCATCTCATTGGACTTCTTGAACGTGGTGATGGGAACAGCTCCAACTTTTTCTCTAGCTGCCTATTTTTCACTCTTTGGTCCGCTGTTTTGCTGATTAATGTATTGTCCTCCGTATTCCGAGCATCCGTTTCATCTTGCCATCTTTGTCACTTGCTGAGGAGATCGTTTCGTATAAAGGAGGGAATTTAGTTTCACCTCAAGTATTGCTTGAACCTCAATGTGTTTTCCGGAACCTGTACGGGCTTGTACTGTGTAATAAGTGCTCTGCTTCCAGTTTGGAACATATTTACCAGGATGAAAGAGGCAAGTTATGTTGGTGGCCCCCACTTTTATCTGTTTTCATTTCAGTGAGTCAGTCTGCACCAGACTGAAGACACTTCCCCTTACGGGATCGCGCATGCCTACCTCTTCACGGGTACTGCAGAGTAACTTGGGCGAGTAATTTTACAGACGGAACCTCTCGCTGGATGGTCTGACTTTCAAAAGAGCGACTTAGTCAATTTGTTAATCTTTTCGACTCTTTCCAGAACTGGTCCTATCCTTTGTCCACCAATGAACGCAACCTTTAAAAAATGCAAGTCCTGTTAAGCTGTGATAATGACAGATACCTCAATAAACGAAGAACGCGATCGGTTTTTCCAAACTTTGTCCGATTGTTTGACCGCTTGGTGGGTAGAAATTTGATCCATGTAGTCTATTCCAAGCCAGCTCTGAGTACGATGTTCTCGCACATGTGGATGAGTCACACCGACACGAGGTACTTCGAAAACATGGGCCCTCTCTTGGAATCTGCGACTGTTCTATTCCAATGTTTTACCGCACGTCTCTCGGAACTCCAACTGAGGACCTTCTAGAAAGTAAGTGATTCTCGTTAGCCTGTACTGTTTTTTGTCCCTGGACTTTCTTGCGGGAGGCGATGATAACGCCTTCCGGGCTTTCCTTACGGATGTTGTGAGCCGTTTGGCATGATCATTTTTCACGAGTGTATCGGTGTTCTTCAGCAGGTGTGAAGCGATTGCATTGAGGTTTACATAGGACAAACTGCACACAGGATTATTGAGTATAAAAGGAGGACCAACAAGAATACCAAGAATACCAAGCGCTGGCGTTACATGCGTCGGACACAGGAATGTGGAAGTTTTAAGACAAGGACTGCGATTCACACCACAGCGACTGATAGCCGAGGCGGTGGAAATTTCCGGGCATCATAGCGTGAATAGAGTCGAGGGTGTGAAACTGGCGAGCGTATGGAGAGTGGTCTTATATAAACCGAGTTTACACGTGAGTGTGTGTGGTTGTGAATGTGCGTAGAATCATTAGCAAAACAGTGAGTGGAAATACCAACCGGACCAGAGTTCACAGAATCCCTCTGCTTACACAACTATCGTAGCACTAACTCATCCACACAGACGAACGGAAAGTGCAAGCGATGTTGAGAAGACATCATCCCGTCAACCAAACCAGAACTAAACCGTAGGCTGGACCCAACTCCATGTAGGTTTCCCCGTCGGCTTAACACTTGGTCACCCACCTTAACGCACAAAATCCCTCAGCCGACACTAAATAGAGATTTAGCTTGACTTAGCTCATTGGTTTTCCTCTTTTCATCTCGACCAACCCCGTAACTTTATCACTTGGTCTGACGAAGCCTTTGTGTCAAAACGAAACGTTGTTGGTTTTCCTCTTTTCATCTCGACCAACCCCGTAACTTTATCACTTGGTCTGACGAAGCCTTTGTGTCAAAAGCGAAACGTTGTCCAGCAATAAATCTACCGATTGGTACCAAACTTTCCAGAAAATCTGTTGTTCTATTAACCTTAGTAACACTTGTTCCATCGGAGTTCCCGTTATCCTCGTCCCAGAGTTAAACATGAGTATTCATGAGGCTAAAACACATTTGCGTAATCATGTCGACTGATCGGAACGTTTAAAAAGATGACAACAATTTCCTATCGATTCACGTGAATACCACGACGAACAGGCAAATGATAAGGGGGTGGGGTGAATGACAGATGATCAGTCGATGGTCTAAGAACTGTCATATATTCAGGCCCGACAGGCTGCTTGTTCACTTAGTCGTACAAGTGATTTTGACCTTACCGCACACTGTCAGTATGTTCACCCGATTCTGGCTTGTACGTCCTGGTTCCGTCCATTAGCACTTCTCTGGTGGTTGTGCCATACAATGCACCTAAACTCTGTGGTGTCGAGGCGCTTTTGGTGAGTTTGTCACCCACCTATTCTGCCCTAAATTCATCTCGTCTTGCGTTTCCACGTTAATCTCTATTTTTGGGATAGTTGTGAGGTTAAGTTGCTGTATTTATTTAGCTCTTGTTTCAAGGTTGGGAGTTGTTAATCAAGGTGATTGTAGCAGGGAGTCCTGCACTAATACTTCTATCAGTTTATAGGTATAGACATGCAATCGATACCCCATAGAATCGTATGTTGGTTGGAGAGAGCGTCATCGTCATCACTTACTGCAAACCGTATAAATGTGCGAGGTTGGTACGTAAATTGTGGAACCGCGATGCAGTTCTTGTTAATTGTTTAGTCTTCAAAGAACGTCCAGAAAAGTTCAAGAGGACATCGAGAATGTCCACTTTTGAAAAATTGTGCAAATGGGACTGTTAATTTCGTGTCTAATGGTGTGTAATCGCTAAATTCGTGTTGGTCACTGAACAACCCCGCGCTAAGGGGCGTTCTTCCTTTCACCTGCTGTGCTTTCAACTAGTCCTTAGTGTCCTGGAAGGCTGATGTGAGCCTGAATTCTCGCAATGTCAACTTTCTGTGGTACAATACAACACTCACTTGACTACAAATTACTTGTGTGTGAAATGTAGTTGCACCCAAGTTGTTGCCTTTCTAATCCGATGCGAGTTTTCTTCATGACCCCACCACGTCGGGATTTATGGTACCAGAAGAATCTACCTGGAAGTAGGTCTGAACAGTAGAATTGCTTGGATCTGAATGTCACTGCGCGTACCCCTTGGGACTCATCAGGTTGTGTGTGGCAGAATTCAGTTTCCCACGCTATTCTGATCCTCAACCAACCATTTATGCGAGAGTCTGCTGTGTGCTAAGCAATAGTCTGTGTACTTGGGTGATTTAACTGATCAACTTGTTAGTTCTAACTGGTTACCGATCTTCGCAGAGGGCCGTCACTAGTTGCCAATTTTTGGCTCATTTCTGTATGCATATGTTTTGTGTGGTTACTCAATTAACGCCCGCCCCATCACGTTAGTCATACATTGATTTTGCTGTCCTCATCAACTTATCTTCCGCCCTTTTGCCGGTCTGTTTTCAATATAGTCGCCCTCCTCTACCTCCTTCTTATCACGCCTAATGTGACAACCTTTTGGAATTGTCGCCGCCGCCGTGTTCTTTCCGGACAAATCATCCCAGATAGAGAGCTATGGTTAACTCGTCTAATTCTACGGACTCATCCGCGATCCAATGAGACCATATTTCACAGGCAGTGGGTTATACGCACCTACTATGCGAAGTCAGTGAACACATTATCAATGGAATTGGAAGTTTGCGATGAGATTGCTGATGCTTATCGGTTGCACTACGGTTTATGGGACTATCGGAGATTTCTTGTGGATCAAATTGGACCAACGGTAAAGTTCCTTTTATTCGGTGATGGCATACGGTTATCTTGGCAGGCGTGGATATTTAGTGCGTTGTTTATGAACATTGAATCATGAATCATATTGCCCAAATCCTGGACTATTTTGTGGATCCGACATCGCTAGTGGCCCTAATATACCCGGGGTTGATGGTTATCGGGATATATACCTAGGGCTAGTATTTCAAGTCCAAAATGAATCCGTTTACGTTGGAATTCAAATAAGAAAAACAGACTGCGCGACTCGCAAGCACCACCACTTGCAGGGTGAGTAGCTTGATTTAGACGACTGGGCTGCTCTTCCAGCCCACCTGGAACGTAACACGAGGCCTGAGATGCTGTCAGGTTGCTCAAGACAGGAACATCCGAAGAGCCAGGTTTGGGCTCGAATCTCAAACCCTCCGGTCGGTGGATCGGTGCCCCAACCGCTGAACCCTCCCAAGCCCAGCGGTTGGGAGTTCAGAAGATAGTCGGGAAGAAGTGTCAAGGAGAACCAAATTATTGGGCATTTCTGAGACGGATAGAACACCAAATCACCGCTAATAAGATATGCTATTCGTGGAATTTCCGTGACAATGGCTTCTCTTTGGATAGGATCCCCGTAATCCTATATTATCAGTCCGTTCAGTTGGGTTTGACAACCGTGAATCGCGTACATATATACGGTCATTCGGATCGCTGCAGTTATTGAAACAGATATTTTTGGGTATAAAGTATATGAAAGACTTTCGAAACAAGGAAACAGCGAGTTGATGATTGAGAACAGAAGAACAGACATCGCTGGCTGCGGAACACTGCTTTGTCGTTAAGGCCTTTGATGTTCTAACCTCGTAGGCAGCATGCGCCATTGCAGCCAAGACTCTTTTCATGCGCTCTCTACCTTGGGATACTTTTGAGTCTGAGCCTGCCTCCGCGAAAAGGACGGGCCGAGGTAGTCAATCATGTGCTTTGCGAAGAACATGTACGATTGAAACAGCTTAACAATTAGACAAGCAGTTGATTCGTGGCCGAAAATCATTCGTTGCACTTCTTCCCTATTGACCCGATGTTCCCGTCATATATGTGCAGGATTTCTGAGGCACTGTCGGTCAGAGACAAGCAATCTTTTTCTGTATTTAGCACACAGTAGTCAGGCTTCAAAGCAAAGCAACCCTGAACGTACTCTCTGTTTCCCACCGATCTTCGCACAGCACGTCGAACTCATTTTGACCAGAACGTCAACATTTTTACCCTAACCTCGGTTTTTTCGATTGCTACTGTTTAGGCCTGGGCAATATGGTATTATCTCAGCCCACGTGTCTCCTTCGAGTTGCTACGTGCCGAAAATGGGCCATAGCTTAACCATTATTTTACCATATTAATACTGTTCTATTGTTGTCATTGGAATTCCGGCAACGAACTAATAATAGGTTTGTATAGTGCGACAGTTTGGTTACATAGTTATATATGAACGTTATAAGTTAGGAACTCGCCACTATATGGACCTGTAAAAGCCCTTACTGGAGCTAGACTGAATTTTTATCAGTCATGCAATCCTGGCTGACTGATCTGGTTGTACATTGCTTGGTACTGATTTCCGACTCTAACTTCAGCAGAAAACAGTCCTCCGTTATTTTAGCGGATTTCTCGAAAGCGGACTGCTGTTCGTTGACTGTGACCTTCATTTGAAGTCCACTTTACCATCCCGTGTGTTCTAATTTTAATCCCTTACTGTGGAGCTATCTTATTTTTGAGAAGAATTCGTTTTCATAATAAACCACTTCGTATGTCTGGCTGCCTTGTTCGCATCTCCGTTATTAGAACTCTTACTCCAATTTGCTCCCCCAGTTGTGTAAACTGAAATGATCTGATTTAGTCTTGTAGTCCCTTCGTAATAGAGGACTCTCCTAAGGTAGTTCACTTGGCTTGAGAGTCTGTAACAGCACTCCTCTGTCGGTCTCCTAGAGGGATGTTATCCCCCAGAAGGTCATGTACCCCGGCCTGTTGGAGTTGTCCGTTTCGGAGGATGGCCATATTTATCTGTCTTACTTTGTATCACCCTGTGTTCCAACTTCACAACTTTCATTCTGAATTGCAAATCTGCGCTTTGTTAAGACACAGCTATCGTGCACATGACAGGGGCTCAATTGTCGATCAGATCAATCCAAGAAAAGCCCACCCGTGTTACGGTACGGTGCAGCTTTCATGTTTATGTCCATTTAAGGGTGACAGTCGATTTGTAAGTCCCTTCTGGTGGCAAAATGCATTACCGTTGGGATGCTCCTGCTTGGAGAATGTGTGACGTGACTCTTTCGGGAACCGTTTTCCGAATAGCTCCGAGTACTTTTGAGACTAAATACAACGTAAAAATGTACAGTTGGAAAAATATTTCTTTGGGGTGTATTTCTTCGCGGGTGAGTAATATAGTCGAATAGCTCCAGGAACTGTGGGACTGGCGGACATGGCTTGTTTTTTACCTTATGCCCAAGTTTATGCTATTCGATAAGTTATTCGCGATTTACCGCTAAGTTGCTTCCGACCCAATCTCGTTCTTCAAGATTAAGAACGTTCCATGCCAAAGCTGTTGTAATCTCGCTACAGGTGACCGGTAGTCGACGCTGCCAACATTACTCTTCCTGCTACTTTGTTTGTGCTTTCGGATCAATCTTTCCACGCTCCCCGACTTATAGGCCTTCGAAAAGGAGTTGATGCGACTCGACGAATGGCTTTCCTCCCATCCCACAGATGCTAGTGGATGGACCTACTTGGCCCAGCTACTGGAACGTACAGTCAGATGTTCCGTACCGCGATGCAAGGAACTGGTTGCCGAACGATTAAGTCACGTGAGCAGCTTGTTAAAATCCTATCCGGAACGGGAGTGTCTGTGGATGTTTATGTGAGTACAGTTATTATCTACCACATGCTGGTCTCGATGATGATGCTTTCTTTGCCGTTGAGTCTGTCTGGAAGAAAGTGTGACACGAGTCTGTGACATTCTTTGCACTGTTCAACTCGGTCATTTCCACCAACAAATTGAAAGGCACAAGTTTTCGACCGAGACTGGGTAAATTTAAGCTTATTACGTCCCACCGAGTAGTCCCTCACAATGGTGGACAAGTTCGTTCGATCTGAAAATTACTTTTCATCTCAGGTGCACTCTGCATACTATCGCAGTCGAACAGTGGCTCGCTCACACAAGTCAATCGGTGTTATCCTTTCCCAGATCACCGCTTGAATGTTTGGACACTTAGCCAAATATGCACTTCACAAAATGGAATAAGGAGGGTCTAGCTTTCCTGCCCAATTCATGGTGTCACCACTTAGAAGGTAGAGGGGAACATTAGCAACCCCCACACTGCTGATAGCCGCGTATCGATTCACTTGCTTATCAACAAGTGATCAGGAAGAACCAACTCAATTGTGGATTTGGGATCGCTCTGTTGACGGGAACCTTAAGCCTTTTCTGCTTTGACCAGATTACTACATACCGGCCGAGATAGTCAAGGATCATTGGAAGTGACCTAATAGCCGAGGCGTATACGCATACATACAACTTATCACTCGTCCTTCAAAGCTTCGGTTGGGGCATATGGCGAGAAGACCATCATTGCTTTTGATTTACAACAAGGCTGATGATTTTCGCCGGCAGACTTCAACTTCGTAATCTGCCGGTCACTCGAGTGGATATCCGAAAAATACTCTGGCTTCTAGTGAAATCAGTCAGGAATACACTGATGTTGTTTTGTTGTGTGTCGAGTTCGGTGTATGACTGGAAATCACTACGTCGAAGCTCAAGTTCTTATTCATCTGCATAGGTGTTCCCACATCAAGCCGCCCGCAAAATTTCCCAAAGCAAACATTCGTTTGGACTCAACCCCAACAGTTTGGTTAGTTTTTTTTTAATAAGATACAAATTCAAGCGAGTGATGTATTACAGTACAGTACTTTTTTGGGAGGGATCGGTGTGGCTATCTGCCATTTGACTGAATGATGTTTTGATCACATCCACAAGGTGGGATGTGAGTGCTACTCTCAGTTATAAGGAACATGTGCGAGACGAGCGGGTTTTACTTGAACTTTCTTGCTCTCTTTCATTTACCCTTCTTTGTCCATGTCACCAAACTTTTCCGAAAAAAATCGCTCAGCTGTAACCCTCATTCGGTGCATAGCCGCCATATCACCCGAAACAAGTGCAAGGGCTGAGATGCTGCCAAGTTGTTTTCGCCTCGACCACTGAGCTATCTCGGACCGACTTTGTCAGTGTGCAGTTCTTCCATTAAATGAATATTACTTCTGAGCTATATTCCACTCTATGTTGTCATTTTCGGATACACTCCATCTTTTAGGCGAACCGCGTTATGCCTGCTCAAACAATTGGATCGTGATTCTGCGACGGATTTTGTAGCAAATCAAACGGAAATATTCCCGAGTGAGGCACGACCCATAATTGCGGAACTCGTCAAAGTTCACGTGCAGTTCAAGTCCATGGAAAGCTATTTAGACTGGGCTTTCGAGAATGGTCTCACACGTTTCCCCCGTGCTCAAATGAGTTGGACAGAACTTCTTCGACTGCGTCACCTTTTTTGGTTAGGACGGGACTTTCTGTTGTCAATGGTGGATAGAGTTTTCTCCTGATTTTCTGTCGTTTTTTACTGTCATTATTATGGTGATATTCCCTCGTGCTGAACTTCCCTCTAACTTTTTATTATAGGGGCTCTAGCTGTAACCGTTTCTCCCGTAGGTACAACAAAGACCGGGTGTGTTTAGCAAAATACGCCCATTTGCAAATAAATCTGGCTTTGCGGGGGACTCACCTGAAACCTAGCTTAGCCTCTCCTTAGGGATGTTTTCAAGCAACTAAATGTGCTGCACCAGGTCGCCTCAAGTTTCAGTTGGTACGATATTCGAGATATCGCGGTACATGTATAGACGTAATACACTACTCATAAGGTCAAAGAATTTTCAGCAGCCTTATGAGTAGTATGAGTATTACGTCTTCAGCAGCGCACAAAGTTTATCGCCATCCTGAAAGTCAGTCATTGCTAATCACTGCTCTTTGGAAAACAAAATTAACACGGAAAGAGCTTAGTGTTTTGATGTTTCCACGAAATTCATATCACAGCAGTGTTCTGCATGAACAGTAACCTCTCAGGTATACCTTATAGAGTGTAATTATGCCCAGTCAGGCTTACTAAAAACAACGCAATCGCAAGTCCACCAACAATCTGAGACCGTTGATCACCAATGGCGAATTTGGTAGGTTGTCTTCTCTTCCCCTCCAGAAAAGCCACTTGGTTGTCCCCATAATGCTTAATAGTCCCGGTACTATCCGCTTTGGGTGTTCCGCCGATTAGTTCACTCGCACTTTCGGTCATTTCAGTGGCTGTTTGAGTCTGCTGATGTATAATAAATGTCATCAAGCTGGTGTCATCCTTCGATTCATGAACCCATTGGAGTTCAGGAAACACGAATTGAAGAGCGCTTGGCTTCAGTTTTCATTCTCATCCACGTATACAGAATCAAGCAAAATGAACCCTTTTTTCAACACGAAATCAAACATGCGGACCAAGGTCACCTGTGCAATGGTCCTTGTGTTCACACGGTTTGTGAGTTTGTGTGTGAACAAAGTGCTTCCGTCAACAATGCAAGGTCAGAGCCATCTTCTCGACCATAATAATCGTGCTAAATGATGTCTATTTTGAGTGGTGCAGTTCTGTAAACGACCGGGGAAATTTTACTCCGAAAGACATTGGTTGACATGGTAGCATGCTTTTGGCAGGGACAGGCGTTCCGCCTTTTAAGTGAAAAGACAGTGGTCGTTGAGGCGTAAGCCACTCACAATACGTTGTGAAAGGAAATGTTCTACTAGTGGTTTTGAGGAGCGATTGACTTCTGACCGGTCCGAAGATTGTCTTCTAGTGGTCGACTAAATATTACGACCTCTGTCGTTGTGGTCCCCATCCAACTGTTTGTCCAGCTTCATTTTACGTCATCTGGCGCTATTTTATACACATATATATTCTAACAAGTATAGCTGTGTAACTCTAGAAGGGGCACTCGAAACAACACCTTCGTTGATCGTCTCTTTTTTTGACCAGACAGGAGAAATTTTTGATGCTTCGTAGTCATTGTGATGGCGTCCTGCTAGGGGTAACTGGTAGCTTGCAGCAGCCCACTGGGTGTTCGCACCTGATAGTATTCCATCCAGTCTACAAAATCAGTGGTCTGCACGCGGAGTTCCGGCAAACTGTGGGTTTTCGGCCACTGGAGTATCTTAAAAGTAAACCGGTTGTTCTGGTTTCCACTAGAAACTGGCATGTTTAAGAGGACCCGGTTGCTCATCCCTTAGGTGACTACTCTGGAGGCTGTTCCCAAGGGGATGATGTAACCGTGGGGAAGTTGATGCCATGGTGACCGCTGCATCTGTTGTGAACAACTCTGAGTCCGTGCCCACTTTCAGTGTTATTGTGTAAGATCGCAGAAAATGAGTGTGAGTTCTGTCGTTAAAGACCGAAAGAGCCGCCGAGTCGGTGGTAAAGGTGAGAGTCTTCCTTAGCAGGGCAGTAGCTGCAAAAGTTTCCGGAACCTTGCGTTGCACACTCGCCATTGTTGTTGTAAATAGGGAAGAACGATCGATCAGGTTGACCATTTTCATGGTTTTCACGGAGGTTCTGCCCCTCTCGCATAATTGGAGAGTACGGTAGATGTAGGAATAGGTTAAAGAAAATTGTATCAACCGTTTTCTGCTTGCTGATGAGCGAGTTTTTGAGTGCCCATGTCAGGCAAGCGATGGCGACTGTCTGCAGAAGATTAGAACTTCTGTTACATATTTATGCATCATCCTCACTACGGAATGAAAAAAAGGCATGCGTTGATGATAAAGGGAGAAGTGCTTAGGACAGTTCTGTGAGGAATCGTGTTGAAATCTCAAATGGCAGGGTAACCACAGACCCGGACTTGGAAAGTTCGTTTGATGAGTAAGACCGATGGCCGTCGGGGAAGGGAGCACGAGTGCACTGAAAATTCCGAACCCCAAATAAGTGTAACGTGTGGTACTCTGTCAGACAGCTTGCTACAATAGAAAGGACAACCAACAACTTTTTTATTATCAGAGAAACCAGGTTAATGTTTGTGCTGCGGAATCAGGAAGGGTTACTATGCTTGGCGGGATTCATGAGTTTAGTCGAGAAGAGGCAACAGTGAGCCACCTTATTTAAGGAGGGATTAAGAGTCAACGTACATGTTTGATGGGCGCAAACGCAATTCGGCTTATCCCTTGCATCCATCACTCCAATAACTCGAAATTTAGAGTTTTTATTCGAACGCCAACAGGTGTAATGCTTCTTAAACTGCTCGTATTGCCATCACTACGCTATTAAACGGGAAATGTGATAATAATGATTGGTTCAAACTGGTGGGGCACATCGCCGGGCGTGATCTATGGGGCACAGTCAGAATAGAAGCATGACTGGTGGGAGTTGCCGGTACTGAAGATTGCGCGAAAGTGGAGCAGTCTCACAACCGGTGGGCATTATCCGACGTAGACGTGGTTGCGCCTAAACCGGCACGATCTAAATGTGGTGGACACCAAGGACAGGGGAACAGTTATCAGGGCTTTATATCTTCCGGGGAGCATATCAAGCTAAAGCAAGACCAAGCCGTCATAATGGCGCTCGACAGGAAAACTGCAACTTGCGGCAAATGAGGAACCAGAACAATGGATCTGGAGAAGCAGCAGAGTAGCAGTGGTCTGGCAGGTCATTTCAAACTAAAACTGAAAAACACTGCAGAGGCTCCGTGGCTTTGCATGATTGAGCTTATTGCCAGGGTCACGAAAAGCCTAAATGGGGATGATGAGTTGGAGAAATTGGGAATACGGATAAATGGTGGCAGGAATCTCAGAATCACGATGTACAGTGAAATTGTAGAGACTCACTGGTGTCGCTGTTGGAGTAGAGTCGGGTACAAAAGTTTATTGGGAGAGTGAGTTGTTGCTAACGCACAGGACGGAACGCGATCTGTGAAGAAAATGACTGACTTTGTGGAGAGCACATTCTGAAGGTTCACCGAGATGATTATATCCGAACGAAAGATTCAGCAGATTAGAATTAGCTCGTTACGGGTGCGACCGGGGCCAGGCAAAGAATTTTTTTATACTTGCAGGTGAGGCATAGAGCGGATGAGAGGGCACACTCATGGATAGAAATGTGGTTGCGGATGTGCCATCAAACCGATTATGACAGTGCCGTGCCATCACTGCACTGGCATACTTCGGCTTCTGGACAGCTCCGTAGCGGACGTCATGTTTGAGGTGATCAAACTGGGATATGCAACTCTATGGATTTTGAACGGCCAAGGTAGAACAAAGGTGATGTAAGATCGCGGGTGCTTTCGGCCTGGTTGGAGGTCTATTTATAAATCACAGACCAGTTGAAGTGGATAACCTCCATACAGGGTGTTCGAAGCAAGTAGTGCCGAATGGTGAAGCTTGGGACATGAAGGGAATGGGATGAAATCAGTAGGACCTGGTGAGAGTGAGCAGGTATCAGATAGCATGGAGTCCACAGTTAAGCTGGTGACAACAAGCGGCTAAATGGAACAGGATAGGGTTAGATTTGTCCTCAGTAGCCCAGAAATCAAGGACTGACTAAGCTTGTCAGTATAGTGCTATTGCAGTACGAGAGGCATAAAGACGGTATAATTATGCAGAGAGATGGTCTGGTAAGGGATATTAAACACAAGGGCTGACGGGAGTAAAGCCGCCGCGATGATGGACTAGTTTATCTGTAGTTTGGTATGCGAGGTGGAGAGTACCATAATTTAACAGGGAAAGTGAATGTAAGAGATAGAGTCACCAGTCTCGGATTCAATACTGTCAGCATCAACGAACAAGTGGCGCAAGGTGAAAAAGTTCATAGGCGCTAGCCTTATGTGTGAGTAGTGGGGGATTGGGAATTTTATTGTATGTAGAAAAAAGATTTTGGTGCAGTGTAGCCCCCAGCAAGACCAAGATGGTCACAGCTTTATAAGTTGATATGAACTATGAGCGTCGCAGAGTATCTTCAGGCTGTCCCATGCATTTTTAAAAAATACCAGAAGAAGGACCAGTCTTCCATCATCCTTGGTTTAGAGGGTTGTCAGATAAATGACACCACTGGGACAGGTCCAACCCGGAAGCTCAAGTGGTTAGAGCGCGAATTTATTGACCGAAATGTCTGTGGTTCGAACCCGATCTCTGTCTCTCGACTGCCCCTGTCTGGGCCTGGGCAACTTGGCAGTATTCCAGCCCTCGTGATTCCGTCGGGTGGCATGGCAGCTAGACACCGGAAGATTGTTACAGCTGAACGGCTAGAAGCTACAACCAGAAAACAGTGCTCTTTTGATGATTTAATCAATTAAAGGCCAGGCTCAGGACCATAGGATATAAGCAAAACACTGTGCTACTGGAGGGGTTGCGAGCGTACGAATGCACCATATTGCAACGCAACGTGGTGACTTTCCCAGCAAGCACACCCAGCAGCACCCGACTAGCACACGAGGTTTTTACCCCTAGTGCGTGCTACCAGATCTGCAAGATGGCAAGCCAACAAGCGGCCGTAATTGCACATTAACATAGAGCTACAGCATCCGGATTTCATCCGGTTGGGTGAAAGCCACGCAGTAGAACAGTATGTCAGTCCAGACAATCAGTTTCTCGAAAAGGCAGGTCGCAGAGGGGGCAAATGAAGCGGCAGCTACCGTTGGGGCAATGGGAATAGAGTGGAGATATTCTG